AGATTCTATCCCTGTCCCTCTGCCCCTCTCCCACTTGGGTGCTCTCTCTCCCTGTCAAAAAAAAAAAAAAAAAAAAAAAAAAACCCCTTTCTTTTTCCCTTTTTTTGCTGAAATAACGCAGGGATGTTCTTATATCAGCTCCGTAAATTTCACCAGTTACCATTAGTGGTAGTCATTAACCCCTTATTGCCTGCCTTTCCATTCCTGCCTCGCTTCCCCACTCATTACTAGAGTTTCTCTGACCTCCCAAATAGAGGAGGTCTATTGCATTCAATAGACTTGCATTCAAATTCTTTTCTCAAGAGTCTTCTAAGGGAATCTAAGCTGACACAACACCTTTCCATTATGGGAAGGTGAAGGAAGAAGTCATAAAGATTAAAGGAGTGAGTATCTATAAGGTGTTAAGAAATTGCCAGACATCTAATTAGCACTATATATGTTTGCTCTCATCAGTACTATTATTATTATCTATTACATCTCCATTTGTAATGATTGGCCACCTTGCTATTAACAACTGTTGCAAAATGCCTCCTACTTTCTTTCACTGAGGAATAGTCTTTTTACCAAGCATTTGGCCATGGTCTAACATCTCCATTCCCTATAGGCTGCGGAAGTCCGTTACCCTTGGCAATGGTTCTTGGAATTTTCATCGGGTGTATCTGAATCACATTTTGTTGTCGTTGCAGTCAGTTCTCCAAACCCTTCACACTCTTCTCTCTCACTCAGATATGAGGCATGCATTATTAATTAAGTGACAACATTATTACAGCCGGTAATTGAATTACTCCATAGCTCCTGCCTGCAGTAATTAGCATCTATCAAAATAAAAGAGGAGGAGTTGTGTTGCCCTTATTACAAATGATTTGGTTTCATGGGTTTTTGATCAAACTAAATAGAATCAAAGTAACAAGTGATTGAATTAAGTGAAAGTCATCATGTTTGTATTGCCCTTATTTGTTCCCAGACTTGACTGAATATTGAGAGTCTACTTTGTGGTCTATACGTTTTCCTTACGAAACTTCCTCCTTGTCAGTGCAGACCCAGGAATGTGACTATACTTTTAAACTGACGTACGGTCTTCTCATCAGACTATTGAGGAGCTGTTTTGCACACACAAAAAAACTACTTAAAAGTAAGTCGAGAACAGCCAACTAAATGTAAAAATGATTCCACAACCACTCTACCAATTATAGGCATAACCAAGGAGCGCTTTATGTGCGAAAATACTCATAAAATCAGAAAGGTTTCAGAGTAGGTCGATAGCTATCAATTTTGATTAGTGTAAAGCAAAACAGTAATGCAGGGAAGGGCTGAGCAGGCCAAAAACAGAATCAAAGGGAAGTGTTCTCACAATTAGGCAAACAGATTGTCTCTCACAAGCAGACACACAACGCACGCGAAACAATCAGTAAGAAGAGAGGCCACTCCCAGAGTAGAAGAAATTCTGAGTCCCAGTTAGCATTTCTGAACATCTCCAACTTTCCCTTGGAATTACCTCTCAAATGCTAGAGCACAGCAGGCTTGTGGAATAGATTAGGGGAGAAGAAAGGGATTAGGAGGTGAGAGAAGAAAGGAAGGAGAGAAAGGGATGAAGGAAAGGGGAAGGGAGCGGTAATCGTTGACTCATATATGATACAAAGTGACTCATATATGATACACATGACTATGTGTAAACACCTGGTCCTTATACAAATTTAAGATATTTGTATTATGCTAAGTGAAATAAGTCAGTCAGGACAGATACCATATGTTTTCGCTCATATGTGGAACTTGAGAAACATAACAGAAGTCCATGGGGAAAGGGAAGAAGAAATAAGTTACAAACAGAGAGGGAGGCAAAACATAAGAGACGCTTAAATACAGAGAACAAACTGAGGGTTGATGGGGGTGGGGGACTGGGGGGTGCGGGGAAAATGGGTGGTGGGCATTGAGGAGAGTACTTGTCGGGATGAGCACTGGGTGTTGTATGTAAGAGATGAATCACAGGAGTCTACTCCCAAAGCTAAGGCTACACTGTATACACTGTTTATTAGCTAACTTGACAGTAAATTATTTTTAAGAGATATTTCGGGGCACCTGGGTGGCTCAGTCGATTAAGCATCTGACTTTGGCTCAGGTCACGATCTCACGGCTTGTGAGTTCAAGGCCCCCTACTGGGCTCTGTGCTGACAGCTCGGAACCTGGAGCCTGCTTTGGATTTTGTCTCTCTCTCTCACTCTCTCTCTCTCTCTCTCTCTCTCTCTCTCTCTCTCTGTCCTCTCCCCGGCTCGTGCTGTCTCTCTCAAAGTAAATAAACATTAAAAAAAAAATTAGGGGCGCCTGGGTGGCTCAGTCGGTTAGGTGGCCGACTTCAGCTCAGGTCATGATCTCGTGGTCCGTGAGTTCGAGCCCCGCGTCAGGCTCTGTGCTGACAGCTCAGAGCCTGGAGCATGTTTCCGATTCTGTGTCTCCCTCTCTCTGACCCTCCCCCGTTCATGCTTTGTCTCTCGCTGTTTCAAAAATAAATAAACGTTAAAAAAATTTTTTTTTGAAAATTAAGATATTTATACAAGTTTCTTGACAAAGTATTTCCTCTCTTAATATGTAAATGACAGTCTACTCGATAGAAGAAGGCATGGATGCATATAATGACTTTATTCTGAACTAAAGACACCGCATCATTATTGGAGCTGATGCTCTTTCAGGCTAAAAATTTCTTAAATAATAAAAGGGATTTGTCTTTAAAGAAAAGTGAGTTTCGGGGCGCCTGGGTGGCGCAGTCGGTTAAGCGTCCGACTTCAGCCAGGTCACGATCTCACGGTCCGTGAGTTCGAGCCCCGCATCAGGCTCTGGGCTGATGGCTCGGAGCCTGGAGCCTGTTTCCGATTCTGTGTCTCCCTCTCTCTCTGCCCCTCCCCCGTTCATGCTCTGTCTCTGTCTGTCCCATAAATAAATAAAAATTAAAAAAAAAAACGTTGAAAAAAAAAGCAAAGTGAGTTTCACACATACAAACAGCTCTTTAATTTCATGATAGATAATAGAAAAAGCAAACTATAGAAATACCAATGATGGAGCAGTAGGATCAGTTAGGTGGAAGAACATTCTAGAAATCGATGATCTCATTAGTCCTCACTATAATAGAATTCACTCTGGCTTTTAACTGCCTCAAAAGGATCTTCTAAGCAATTATTCATCAAGATAATAAAGCATTGAAAGAGGCTGGCTTAAGGAAGTATCTCTATACCTAAAGATATACCAGAAAAACATACATACATACATATATTCATGACCTAAATAACCACCCCTCCTGAGTACTAAGTACTGAGTACTGATCTTCTGTACCTGAGTACTAATCTTCTGGAGCACCTGATTTTTCAAGTTACTCTCCTGCCATACAAAATCTATGATTTGCTAGAACTTTGAAATCCTCTGTAAGCAACATGCTAATACAAATGTTACAACATTAACTATATCCAAGGAAAATGTAATCTTGTGTAGACATCAATTTGTAAGTGGACAAATTAGGGGGGAAAAAGAAGAAGGAAAACAATCCATCACCTCAAACAATAAAACAATATATTTCTTAAAAATATATTCGGGAGACGGGCAGACACTGGGTGGCTCCGTTGGTTAAGCATCTGAGTTCAGCTCAGGTCACGATCTCACGGTTTGTGGGTTCGAGCCCTGCATCGGGCTCCGTGCTGACATCTCAGAGCCTGAAGCCTGCTTCGAATTCTGTATCTAACTTTCTCTGCCCCTCCCCTGCTCACACTCTGTTTCTGTCCCCACAAATATATGAACAATTAAGTAAATAATTAATTAATTCTAGGGGTGCTTGGGTGGCTCAGTCAGTTAAGCGTCTGACTCTTGATTTTGGCTCAGGTCATGATTTCGCAGTTTGTTAATTGGAGCCCGGAATCCAGCTCTGCCCTGATGGTATGAAGCCTGATTGGAATTCTCTCTCTCTCTCTCTCTCTCTCTCTCCCCCCCTTCCATTCTTTCTCTTTCTCCCTCTCTCCTCTCTCCTCTCTCTCTCTCTCTCTCTCTCAAAATAAATAAACTTTAAAATTTTTTTAAATAAAATAAATTCTAGTTATTTCAAAAAGAGCATGTTCATTGGGGAAAACTTGGAAAACACAAGGATAGCAAATAAGAAAACAAACTCACTCAATTCCAACACGGTTAGCATTTTTGTGTGCACCTTACAGTACAACTGGATGCATTCTGAGGACTGTATACATCCATGTAACCTCCACCCAAATCAAGGACTAGAATACCTCCATCTCTCCCAGAAGGATTCCTATGGCTCCTTCCAGTCAATCCCCACCCTCCCACAGGCAAGCACTATTCTGATTTCTGTGACCGTAGATTCGTTTTGCCCGTTCTTGAAGTTCGTAGAGATGGACTCACACAACAGAATGTCCTTGAGATTCGCTCGCGTCGTTGCAGGTAGAAATAGTTAACCCACTGTAACTACTTAGCCGTTTCCCACCACGTGCATATAGGAGTATTCCATTCTGTGGCTGTCCCACGTTGTTTACTCTACCCCCTGTTGAGAGCCAAGGGTGAGTAGAATGTAAGGCGGGCACCAGAGGAGAGAGCCGGTGAGTAACAGTCGTGGCCTCAAGAATAGCTGACTTGCCTCCAGGAAGTTTTTGCAGGAAAAGAGAACCGCCAGACTTGTAGAGAAAGAAGCCATTCCCAGAACTTATTATCAGATGCGAGGTCACCAAAGTGGCTCAGAGGATGCGCTGTAGTAGACGCTCTGAGGGCTGATGGCCCTCAGCTGAAGGGTGACTCACCCGAGGTTATGGTCCCTCCTCAGGGGAAGCTGGTGGCGAGCGAGCAGTCCAGTTGAGGGTAGAAAAGCCAGGCCTCCCTTGCCTCAAAGCAGGTCAGCTCTGAAGGGCTGTCTCAGTTGTGGGGTTCCCTGAGAAATCGACAGAAGTGTCCGTCACAGCCCCCTCGCTGTCCGGCTTCTGCCTCAGCCTAATCATACCCCTTTCACCCCTCTTAACCAGCCGTGTTCCTGAGAACGGACTGCAACAAAGCCCCCTGCAGGCCAAGGTGACACATTCTTGGAGCACTTTTCCTCATGGAACCTCACCCGTAACAAGCAAGTTTCAAAGCAAGGTAAAGTCCTCTGTTTTGGATTCTCTCTCTCGAGAACGTTTGGATAATTCTAGGTCTTTTGCATTAACATGTAAATTTTCAAATGAGCTTGTCCATTTCTACCGAACACCCTGTTGGGATTTGGATCCGAATTGTGTGGAGGCTGTGGGTCAGTTTTTTTTATTGGTTGGTTTGTTTCAAATTATTTAAATTCCAGTTAGTTAACATACAGTGCAATATTGGTTTCAGGAGTAGAATTCAGTGATTCATCACTTACATACAACACCCAGTGCTCATCACAAGTGCCCTCCTTAATGACCGTCACCCATCTAGCCCATCCCCCACCCACCTCCTTCCATCAACCCTCAGTTTGTTCTCCATCTTTAAGAGCTTCTCATGGTTTGTTTCCCTGTCTCTTTTTTTTTCCCTCCCTTCCCACATGTCCATCTATTTTGTTTCTTAAATCCCACATATGAGTGAACTCATATGGTATTTGTCTTCTCCGAATGACTTACTCCGCTTAGCATAATGCTCTGTAGCTCCATCCACGTCATTGCAAATGGCAAGATTTCATTCGTTTTTATGGCTGAGTAATATTCCATCGTGTATATATACCACATCTGCTTTATCCATTCATCAGTGGACATCTGGGCTCTCTCCATCGCGTGGCTAATGTTGATAATGCTGCTATAAACATTGGGGTGCACGTACCCCTTCCAATCTGAATTTTGTATCCTGTGGGTCAATTTTGAGCTGCGGTTAATCTTTTTTCCATATGGATATCCAGTTGTTCCCGGAACATTTGTTGCAAAGGTTATCTTTTCTCCCATTGGATTAGCTTGACACAATCATGTCATCTGCAAATAAAGACGATAGAGCGTTTAGTAGAAGTTGTGAGACCACATATCCTTGCTTTCTTTCCAATCTTTGGGGGAAGTGTCCAGCCTTTCGGCAATGAGTATGTTACCCGTAGGTTCCTTACCACCACCACCAAGTAAAAATACCATTTTTATTAAATACCAAATCTTCCTCTGTTCATGGGCCTATTTCCATTGGCCTATCTTCTCCTACACTCGCTAGTTTTATCGTTTTGATATCAGGTAGAGCAAGGGTTTTGTTTTTCTTGGTCATTCTCTATTTTCTTATTCTTCTAGGTAAATTCTAAAATACTATTTGTTTTTATTTGTCCCATTTTCTGTCATTCTCCCTCTGTTTCTACTCTCTTGCTTTCTATGTAATCATATGTTGCTCTACTATTCCATTTTCATTCCTCTATTGACTTTTTATCTATACCTAGTTTGCATTTCTTTTCCTAGTTCATATTTCTTTTCCTAGTTTGTCTAAACATTACACTATGTACCCTGACCTTACAAGAAACTATGTAGATTTAACATTATACTGCTTCACCTAAAATGTAAGAAGCTTGTAACAGAATGGCTCTATTACCCTCTCCCTTCTTATCGTTTCATTATTATACCTATATTTGTATCATTCATGCCAAAATAAAATATTGGTTTTGCCTTAAAGAGGCTATTATATTTAAGGAAATGAGGTTTAAAAACAAAGAGTCTTTTACACTTAAGCAAATATTTCTCATCTCCAGTGCTCTTAGGTCACACGTTTCAGTTTTTTACACATCTTGAAATTTTTATTGTATATTAGACATTATGGATGGTATGTTTTAAAGAATATGGACTCTGTTATCCTTTATGAAATATTGTTGGGTTTTGTTTTACCGGGTTATTAAATCACTGACTGACACCTGGAGTTTGTGGAGGCTTGGTTTTACACTTTGTCAAGGGAGGATCTGTTTTGATTTGTCCTCAGTCTTAGAATTGATCTCTCAGTCCTGTGACAAAGTGTTAGAACCCTAGGCATGGGCTTTTTCTGGAATTTCAGTGGAAATCCCAAAGTACTTGCCAAACCTCTATACCTAGGCAGGACTCAAACTGCAAACTCTGTCTCCCCTGTTGTGGGCAGGAGTTTAAATCTCTGCCCACGTGTTTCAGCCTTTTAGCTGTTGCCTTCCACTGGTATCCTTGGCTACTCCTTGGTGCAAGTTCAATTCAGGGATCAGCCTAAGATGTAGGGGAGATTGTACCCAGATTCGTATGCATACCTGAGATGACTCCTTTCTGGACTTTTTACCACTCAAACTCCAGCCACTCCCGCATCTCCCAATTCAATCTTCTGACACCTCCGGCCAATATGACTTCGGCTTTCTGTTTGAGTTTTAGCACTGACTGGAGACCGCCTTCCGAGGAAGCGCTGCATAAACTCGGATCTTACCCAGTGCAGTTCCCTTCTTTCAAGAGTCAAATCCTGTTTCTGCCGCCTTTTTGTCATTTTCTAGTGCCTTCAAATAGTTTTGTTAGTATTTCGTCAGAGGTTTACAATGTATATATTCAGGGGGGTTGGGGAGTGGGGGGGGGTGGGTAGTCCAACCCAAGCTGTTCCACCATCACTAAAACTGAAAATCCTTTGCACATACTGTTTGGTCACTTGCTTTGTCCACCTAACAATTTAGCTTGAACATTTTCCTTCATCATTAGCATCTTCTTCTACAACCTAATTTCTCAGATTCGAGCATAAATTTTTAATTTTTTTTAAGTTTATTTAAACTTAGAGACAGAGAAAGGGAGCAGGGGAGGGGCGGAGAGAGAGGGAGAGAGAAAATCCCAAGCAGGCTCCAGGCTGATAGCGTGGAGCCTGATGTAGGGCTCAAACTCACGAACTGTGCGATCACGACCTGAGCTGAAACCAAGAGTTGGACACCTAACCGAATGAGCCACCCAGGCGCCCCTCAAGCATCATTTTTTAAAAATAAACCTCACTGGATTCGTGTCTGAATAGTGGAAACTGCCAAAATACATAACTTCAGCTTTCTTGTAAGATCCCAACGACTGGTTTCCCACACCACGGAGGTGGTGAGAAAGTATTATTAGGTAACCTATGGTGAAAATTCAGAACTTCACGAACTATCCCACTCGACAGAGTTTAAACAACTTGCCTGGCCCCTCTTCTAGCTGTACCTTAACTGATATACCAACCGTAGGGATATTCAAAAACGGTGACACTGGTTCAAAAAAAGAACTTGCCCCTCAGAAAATAAATTAACAAATGCTCAGTGCACCTTTGCAAGACTGGCCCTTTCTCCGCACGTGCCCCCTGGGTGCACTAGTATTTTCCTCGTGGGAGCTCTAGGGAAAGGTGTAGGGAAAGAAGGTTGACACGCAGAGAAACCCTTCACCACACATCAGGGCTCACCAGCCGTTTATATTTCAAACACGCTCTGATTTACAAACACAGTAAAACAAGAGAGCTCGACGGGCTGTGCTAAGTCCGTGGGGGCACTTTCCATATATAATACTGACTGATAAACACCCTCCCTCTGCAGAGGCAAAGTGGGAAGCTTTTCCTAATGCAGGCTTTGTAGCTGTCCTCACTGAGAGTAGATAAAAATTTCAAGCATTAGTTATCAGGTCTGACAAGATTTATATTTAGGGTGTGTGTGTGTTTTTTTTAATTCCAGAGTTTTCTAGGCAATTCCATCTCCTGGAAGAGAAAGCGTCTTTTCTCTAGTTTATGCCTGTGTTGATTATTCACCGTGGAGAGTAAAGAGCAGAAATGAAAGGGGTACAAAACGGGGTTTCTCTTGAGACAGCAGAACGTGGAGGACAGCTTTTCCTGGATTGTCATTCTGCTGTCGGGGTTTCGGAGGCGGAGCCGCAATTGTCTTTACTCAGGACACCGAGCCCCGGCAGGAACGCTCTAAGTGTCCTGGAAAACGCAAGATTCTCCGGGCCTCCGATCGTTAAGGGCTCGGCACCAGGACCTGTGAGGATCCCTGCAGTTCTCCACCTCTTGGATAAAAATGCTGGCTGAAAATTCAAGGAATAAATCTGATCCCTTATGCCCTGGTACTTACACTAAGCCGTCTTAATAAGAAAGCGATTTTGAGGGACGGAAGGCATGTTGATCTTGATCTCCATCAACACACTTCCAGTTCGCCCCAGGTGCCCTGGAGTACCTGGGACTGGACACACCGCCACCCAGAGGCGAGGTGGCGGAATTGCAGATGAGGTGGCGATGGTGTTTTGTGAACACTTTTATTTTTCTTCTTTCAGTGTATTTATTTATTTTGAGAGAGACAGAGCGTGAAGGGGAGGGGCAGGGAGTCTCAAGTGGGCTCCGCGCTGACAGCGCAGACACCGGGCTCGAACTCACGAACCGTGAGATCGTGACCTGAGCCGAAACCAAGAGTCGGATGCTTAACCCAACTGAGCCACCCAAGCGCCCCTTCTTAACGCTTTTTTTTAATTGTTTTTAATGTTTTATTTATTTTTGAGAGAGAGGGCGCGTGCACGAGCGAGCTGGGGAGGGGCAGAGAGAGAGAGGGCAACACAGGATTAGAAGGAGGCTCCAGGCTCTGAGCTGTCAGCACAGAGCCCGATGCAGGGTTTGGACCCACGAACTGTGAGATCATGACCTGAGCCGGAAGTCAGAGGCTTAACCGACTGAGCCACCCAGGCGCCCCCCTTGTTAACGCTTTTCATTTGAATCTTCCAACTTTAAGTTATCACATCATCTGCAAAGAAAACCACCTGTCTGGTGACCACTAGAGCAACCTGTACTGTCTGAGTTTTTCAGAAACTATAGTCAAAGTTCTCTATAATTCTCAGAATTTTCCCTGCCGGTCCTCAGGAAGAGGTTTGATTCCTATGTACCAGAATGATCTAGAAGTACTCAGCAACAGGGCCCAAGGTGACACAAAGAAGATTTTTTTTAAGGTGCAAATAACATATTTCAGCCAAAGTCAGCGTGTACTTAATAGGCAATTAGTGAGGCACCTGGGTGGCGCAATCGGGTAAGCGTCCGACTTCAGCCAGGTCACGATCTCGCGGTCCGTGAGTTCGAGCCCCGCGTCGGGCTCTGGGCTGATGGCTCAGAGCCTGGAGCCTGTTTCCGATTCTGTGTCTCCCTCTCTCTCTGCCCCTCCCCCGTTCATGCTCTGTCTCTCTCTGTCCCAAAAATAAATAAACGTTGAAAAAAAATTTTAAAAAAAATAAAATAAAAAATAAAAAAAATAGGCAATTAGTGACATTGGAAAAGCAGGAAAAAGAAAGACGATTGAAGATGAAGGCCACAAGGGGAGAGGCAAGGACAGCTGAGTGGATGAACCGGACCCCCAAATAGGTAAAACTAGATGGAAGCTGCCACTGATGTACGCCCACATGAGCTACGAGGCAGAGAAAACATCTGAGGTGATTGTGGCTCAAGCTGGAAGACACGTGTGGCATTTAAGGGACGCTTGCTATGCACCCAGAGCTTTACGTGGCATCTCCCTTAATTTTCTTTAAAAAGAAAAAGCGTATTTTTTTTTAAGTTTATTTTTGAGAGAGAGAGAGAACACTCGAGTAAGGGAGGGGCAGAGAGAGGGAGAGAGACAGAGAGGGAATCCCAAGCAGGCCCCACACCATCAGCGCAAAGCCCGATGGGGGTCTCAAACCCACGAACCGCGAGATCAGGACCTGAGCAGAAGTCGGACCCTTAACCAACTGAGCCACCCAGGCGCCCCTCTTTTAAAAATATGAAACAGAAGCTTGACACTCCCTGAGTAAGCTCTCGCTGTGTGCCATGCACCGAACTAAACACTTTACATGCATTATCTTGTCCTTCACCACAATCCTTCAAGGTTTTTTTTTTTAATTTATTTTTTAATTTTTTAAATTTACATCTAAGATAGTTAGCATCTAGTGCAACAATGATTTCAGAAGTAGCTTCCTTAGTGCCCCTGACCCATTTAGCCCATCCCCCCTCCCACCACCCCTCCAGCAACTCTCAGTTTGTTCTCCATATTTATGAGTCTCTTCTGTTTTGTCCCCCTCCCTGTTTTTATATCATTTCTGCTTCCCTTCCCTTATGTTCATCTGTTTTGTCTCTTAAAGTCCTCATATGAGTGAAGTCATATGACATTTGTCTTTCTCTGACTCATTTCACTTAGCATAATACCCTCCAGTTCCATCCACGTAGTTGCAAATGGCAAGATTTCATTCTTTTTGATTGCCAAGTAATACTCCATTGTATACATATACCACATTTTCTTTATCCATTCATCCATCGATGGCCATTTGGGCTCTTTCCATACTTTGGCTATTGTGGATAGTGCTGCTATAAACATTAAGGTGCATGTGCCCCTTCGAAACAGCACACCTGTATCCCTCAGATAAATACCTAGTAGTGCCATTGCTGGGTCGTAGGGTAGTTCTATTTTTAACTTTTTGAGGAACCTCCACACTGTTTTCCAGAGTGGCTGCACCGGTTTGCATTCCCACCAGCAGTGCAAAAGAGATCCTCTTTCTCCGCATCCTCGCCAACATCTGTTGTTGCCTGAGTTGTGAATGTTAGCCATTCTGACAGGTCTAAGGTGGTATCTCCGTGTGGTTTTGATTTGTATTTCCCTGATGGTGAGTGATGTTGAGCATCATTTCATGTGTCTGTTGGCCATCCGGATGTCTTTTTGGAGATGTGTCTGTTCAGGTCTTTAGCCCATTTCTTCACTGGATTATTTGTTTTTTTGGGGTGTTGATGTTCTTTATAGATTTTGGAAACTAACCCTTTATCTGATATGTCATTTGCAAATATCTTCCCCCATGCCATCAGTTACCTTTTAGTTTTGCTGATTCCTTCTCTGTGCAGAAGCTTTTTATTTTGATGAGGTCCCAGTAGTTCATTTTTGCTTTTGTTTCCCTTGCCTCCGGAGACGTGTTGAGTAAGAAGTTGCTGTGGGCAAGATCAAAGAGGTTTTTGCCTGCTTTCTCCTCGAGGATTTTGATGGCTTCCTGTCTTACCTTTAGGTCTTTCATCCATTTTGAGTTTATTTTTGTGTATGGGGTAAGAAAGTGGTCCAGGTTCATTCTTCTGCATGTCGCTGGCCAGTTTTCCCAGCACCATTTGCCGAAGAGACTGTCTTTATTCCGTTGGATATTCTTCCCTGCTTTGTCAAAGATGAGTTGGCCATACATTTTGGGGTCCATTTCTGGGTTCTCCATTCTGTTCCATTGATCTGAGTGTCTGTTTTTGTGCCAGTACCGCACTGTCTTGATGATGACAGCTTTGGAATACAGCTTGAAGCCCGTTCAAGTAGGTATTCTTATCCCCAGTTTACATACGCTACAAGTATTAGCCGGGATGACCCTTCCTTTTGAGATCTGCGTAAGCTTGGTGTAAACCTCCATTTCGTGACAAAGCAATGCTAGCTAGCCCCATGATTTTGAGCCCTTCCTTAAGAGCATACTTTCTCGGTTTCCCCTGTCTCTGAGCTCCTGTTTTAGCTGAATGAGTTTTGCTTCGTAACTGTCTTTTTTTTTAATGTACTTTATTGTCAAATTGGTTTCCGTATAACACCCCGTGCTCATCCCAACAATTGCCGTCCTCAATGCCCATCACTCATTTTTCCTCTCCCCCATGGCCCCCCCATCCACCCTCAGTTTGTTCTCTGTATTTACATCTTTCTTTCTTCCATTCACTTCTACACGGAACGCCAGGCCCAGCCCTCTACTTAATTCACACGCGAACACACACACACACACACACACACACACACACACACACAAATCCAACTCAGCCATGTGTGTTTACAGCAAATTTTACCAAAGATTTAGAAAGATAGATTAGGTGAACAGCACAGTAAGAGAAACAAGTTGGAACTAATAACAGCTCTCCCTGTTCCTGGAGTCCTTTTTTTTTTTTTTTTTTAATATTTACTTTTTTGAGAGAAAGAGAGAGAGAGAGAGCGCGCACATGTTTGTGAGCATGAACGGGGGAGGGGCAGAGAGAGAGCAAGGTACAGAGGATCTGAAGCGGGCTCTGTGCTGACAGCAAAATCCTGAGGCGGGACTTGAACTCATGAACCTTAAGATCATGACCTGAGCCCAAGTCTTACTGGCTCCTCTTTCCCCTTCTCCTTTACTCCTTCCCACAGGGCCAACGATAAATGACGGGCTTCCCCCACGTTCTTATAGAAAATGATTGGCCTGGACTGTATGCTGCATTTCCTTTCCAGACCCTTCTCTGAGGCCTTTACTTTCATGATACCAAGGCTCTAAGAAGTCTTAAAATTTGCCCCCCGTGAAGCAGGTAGTAAGTGACAGCTCACAACTCATTCCCTACAGTTGCACTGCCCAATACGGAAGCCATTAGCCTTATGTTGCTACTTAAATTTAAACTGGACTTAATTCGCATTGAATAAAATTAAAATTTCAGTTCCTTCCTCTCGCTGGCCATATTTGTTTTCATATTTTTAATGCTTATGTATTTTTGAGAGAGCATGCAAGCAAGGGGGGGGGGCAGAGAGAGAGAGAGGAGGACAGAGCATCTGAAGTGGCCTCTGCTGACAGCAGAGAGCCGGATGTGGGGCTCGAACTCATGAGCCGTGACATCGTGACTTGAGCGGAAGACACTTAACGGACTGAGCCACCCCAGGCGCCCCTCGCTGGCCACATTTTAAGTGCTCGGAAGCTCTTGTGGCTGCTGGCTATTGTGCTATGCCGTGCAGATAGAGAACAGTCCAGTCATTCCAGAAAGTTCTGCACATACTGTACAGTTCCCAGACTCTGCTCTCTTGCCTCGGTGCCACCGCTGGAGATAGTCACAGGCCCTTGTCGTTCTTCTTCTCTTGGACTGCCTCCTGCTGTGCTATTTGTAAATGAGAAGAAACACGGAGGATGAGTGGTGACAAGCAGTTGCAAGTACGGAGTCTGTGAAAACAGCCTAGTTTCTCTGTTACCTGTGGCTCTTCCCGTATTTCCACTAGCCCTGAACGACTGTTGAGACCACTTATCCTCCGGGAACAAAGGCCTCCTTTCATAGTCAAGGCACTGGCCACCTTGTGAACCTTACAGAAGCTGCAGGTTTTTAAAGAGTGCTCGTGTTTCCTGCTCCTGCTTCCCCTCCCCGCTTGAAGGGTAAAGCACTTTCTTCTGAGCTCTCAATTCTCTTGAATTCTCGGAATCGGTTCAAAGGGCCCCCATTTCTTCACGTCGAGCTTTGACCGCAAGACGGATGATTCATCGAGATTGAACGCCTTTCAGCCAGTGCAACTCAGCTGCCCTTTGCAATCGCCTGGGAGCTTGGAAAAGATCCGGGTGCTCAGGCCCACCGAAGACCAGTGACATCAGAGTCCCTAGGGCTGGGAGCGGAGCCTCAGCACTGTTCATAGTCGGCCACGGATTCTGACGTGCGTCCCCGTCATAAGGCAGCACTGGCATATGGAGAGCCACTGCACGGTACGGATTCCCCAGACCGGCTGTCCCTGAGCATTGCCCTGGGATGCTTTGTCAAAATACAGATTTCCAGGCTCCCCGCCCACCAACTGAGTCACAGTCTAGAGGCTCGGGGTCAAGCTATTTGTATTTTTCTGAGGAGGCCTAAGAGATTTCAAGGGAACACAGCTTTGCAAACATTCGCCCCCGGGGCATTGGGCACCCTGTAGGGACAGGGGCACAATTGCGCAGTGAGGTAAATGTACCTCTCTCGTGCACTTGGGGCCCCCTGACAGGCTTCCCGCTCACCCCACCCCCAGCACTGCAAACAAGGCACCTCCACACCTGCTCTCTTACTGATCAAACACCCCCTGGGTCCTCCCTGCCTCCATCATGTTTGGGTTTTCACCTCTGCTTTCTAAAGCAGGACGCTTTTCTGTTCCTGATGCGACCTTTCTGCCTCAAGATGAGTCTTTCTCCCTGGCATCCAACCCATGTTATAATGGAGACCAGCGTCCCAGCATCTTGCCTTATGCACAGTAAGTGCTCAAAAAAGGTTTGGATGTGAATGATAGATGTATGCAAGTATTTCTGTATTCATAATTTGACATTCAAAGATTTTTTTTTAAATTTTCAATGTTTATTTTTGAGAGAGAGAGACAGAGACAGAGCACGAGCAGGGGAGGGGCAGAGAGAGGGGGAGACACAGAATCCGAGGCAGGCTGCAGGCTCTGAGCCATCAGCACAGAGCCTGATGTGGGGCTCGAACTCACAGACCACGAGATCATGACCTGAGCCAAAGTCGGTCGCTCAACCGACTGAGCCACCCAGGTGCCCCAACATTCAAAGATTTTTTTTTTTAAAGGTCTGTGTTTCAACAGTCCAAAGAAATCCCTTTTGTGACAATCAAACTAGTTCAATGGCACATCTTTGCATACAAATGTGGTAAAGTAGAACGTAGGAAAATTATTTAAATTAACAGATGGACCCTGTAAGCTGTCTAATTAATGCATTGGGAATTAGTGTCACTCCAAGTTTTTTTAAGATTTTATCTTTAAGCAATCGTTACACCCAACACAGGGCTCGAACTCACGACCCCGAGATTAAAAGTTGCCTGCTCTACCGACTGAGCCAGCCAGGCACTCCTGTCACTCTGATTTTAAAGCAATGTTCTGAAGTAGTTGGAAGGGCCCACTGAAACGGTCTTCCACATATTTGTATGAATTTGGCTCGTAAATACATATAAACTACCCAAAAGACCAAAGAAAATAGAAACAGGTGTCTTCTCTCTGAGGCGATTTTCTTGAAGAAAGCCCACATTTTCAGAGCTCGGGGGCCCCAGTGTCTCTTAAGGTGGTTTTCACCCAGGGGCCCTAGAGAAAGAGGCAATGATTGTTTCCAGGTAAAAGGATTTTCCTTCCTTCTTTTTGCTTTGATTTCCTGTTTTTTATACAGTAAACAAATCTATTTTTAGGCAATAATAAATTGAAGCGTGCCAGCTCAATAGTGAGCATTGGGAGTTCTGTTCAAGTGGAAATCAGAGAAGACCTTTCCATCACTGCTCAAAGATAGAGGAGGTAGGCCCAACTAGTGTTCACTTCGTGGTTGGAACCCTTCTCTTTGTTTTTTTCATAACCTTTTTAATGTTTATTTATTTTTGAGAGAGAGAGAGAGAGAGAGTCAGAGCATGAGCAAGGGAGAGACAGAGAGAGAGGGAGTCACAGAATCCGAAGCAGGCTCCGGGCTCTGAGCTGTCAGCACAGAGATGGACGTGGGGCTCGAACTTGGGAACGGCGAGATCATAACCTGAGCCAGTCAGACCCTTAACCGACTGAGCCACCCAGGCGCCCCGGAACCCTTCTCTTTAGTGGGAGCTTTATGCCAGTTTAAACTTTTGAAGATAAATATTAATCCATGATAGAATCTTTTCTCCATCACACAAGATTTTCCAGTTGCATATTCCTTTATACATTCTTCACGGATAAAGAAAGACTTCAAAAATGGATCTTGTAAGTAGTTTAAGAAAATAATCCCAACGTTAGAAAATCGGTATGCAGGGAAATCTATAATGGGAAAAATTTGGCAAACAAGTTAAATGTCCCCAGATAGAAGAATGGTCTAGCAAATTACAATATAGCCATTTGAAAGAATATTTTGAAGCCAATTGAAATGTTGATTATGAGGGATAGTGACCGAGAGAATGCATATCACATAACATTTTTAAAGAACAATATATAATCAACACCAGAACGGTAGGCCACTTCCTACCCCGAGAATGACTACAATGGAAAAGACTGACAGGTAGGGAAATAGGCACAGCCACTTTAGAAAGCATTTGGGCAGGTCTTCAAAAGGTTAAACACGGACTTACCACGTGACCCAGCAATTCCACGCCCAGGCTTATACCCGAGGGAATTCAAACCAGTCCTTCAAACACTTGTATGTGAATGTTCTTAACAGCACTGTTCACAATAGCCAAAGGGCGGTTGGCGACCACCAAACGTGCTTCCTTGATGACCCGCTGAACAAAAGGAGGCATACCCACCGTTGGACCTGCAATGGGATGTGGTTCGGCCATAAAAAGGACTGAAGTACTTCTAGCAACCGCAGTGTGGATAAGCCTTGAAAACATTAGGCCAAATGAAAGAAGCCAGTCACAAAAGACCACACGTTGAGTCAATCCGTGTATATGAAATGTCCAGGATGGGCACATCTATAAGAGATAGAAAATCTCTAGGGCTAGGAGGATTGGGCATGACTGCCAATGGGAAAGGGGGGTTCTTTGGGGATGATGGAAATGCTTTAAAATATATTGTGCTGGGGGCACCTGGGTGGCTCAGTTGGTTAAGCGTCTGACTCTTGACTTTGGCTCAGGTCATGATCCCATGGGTCGTGGGATCGAGCCCCACGTCGGGCTCTGCACTGACAGTGCTGAGCCTGCTTGGATTCTCTCTCTCCTCTCTGCCCCTCCCCTGCTCACTCATACTCGCTCGTTCTCTCTCTCTCTCTCTCTCTCTCCCTCAAAATAAGTAAATAAACTTAAAAAAAAACTTAAAAAAAATGTATTGTGCTGACAGTTTCACAACTCGGTAACTATACTAACAACCACTGAGCAGCGCCTGGGTGGCTTAGTCGAATAAGCGTCCGACTTTGGCTCAGGTCATGTTCTCATGGTTCGTGGGTTCACACCCTGCATTGGGCTCTGTGCTGACAGCACGGAGCCTACTTAGGATTCTCTCTCTCTCTTTCTCTCTCTCTCTCTCTGCCTCTCCCCCACTTGTACTCTCTCAAAATAAATAAACATTAAAAAAAATTGTATACTTTGGGTGAATTGCATGGTGCATGAATTGTATCTCAGTAAGTTGCTGTAAAGAACACATCTAGTTATGTGCACGCTGTGACGAGAGAAAAGCAGACACAGAAAGGAAAATATTCAAATTTAAAAATATTTTGCAATGTGATCATGTAATTATAATAACAAAAATAAAAATGAATCCAATTAATGGAGAGGAGCCAGTGCAGAGATTTGCAAGCTAGTTTTGTAAGCACTCCATGTTGTCTGCAGTAAAGTAAAGGCTTACAACATTTGGGGACAGGCACTGAGGGAAGAGAAGACAACTCTCCCTAAAAGTCAGAGGTAGTAGAATAGATTAGAAAGGCGACTGGCAGGGGCTCCTGGGTCGTTCAGTTGGTTAAGCATCTGACTTCAGCTTAGGTCATGATCTCACAGCTTGTGCCCCACGCCGGGCTCCATGCTGACAGCTCAGAGCCTGGAGCCTGCTTCAGCTTCTGTGTCTCCCTTTCTCTCTCTGCCCGTCCCCAATTTGTGCGCTCTCTCTCTCTCTCTCTCTCTCTCTCTCTCTCTCCCCCTCAAAAATAAAGAAGCTTGAAAAAAAAAAGGCGACTGGCAAACACAGAGTAGGTCTACAAGAATCATTAGCTGAGTGGATATGTCTTGGGTTATATCCTGAGTCCCTTGTCTCTCCTCCCCATACCCTCCCTAACAAGTTTCATTCTCACCTATAACCTTGACTCCCTTCTGTAGCAATGATTTGCCAGTCTATTTACTGCACAGAGCTCTTTGCTGAGTTTGACTCCTGTAGCTATCTGCCTCTTATTAATAATAACTAGCGCCTGGGTGGCTCAGTCGATTGGGCATCTGACTTCAGCTCAGGTCATGATCTCGCGGTTCGTGAGTTCGAGCCCCGCGTCGGGCTCCGTGCTGACAGCTTGGAGCCTGGAGCCTGCTTCGGATTCTGTGTCTCCCTCTCTCTCTCTGTCTCTCTGCCCCTCCCCCACTCCCCCACTCTGTCTCTCTCTCTCTCAAAAATGAATAAACATTAAAAAATTTTTAAACAATAATAACTATAAAGTTTATTACTAAACTGTGTTCCCTGGCATTAGCCCTCTTAGAATCAGCACTTACAAGAATACCTTTGACTTTTTTTCTCTTTTTTGGACACAATACAAGCTTATTTATTTGGACATTCTACCCAACACAAGTGTCAAGGTAGTAGTAACGTGTCCACTTGGAGCCCAAAGCTGGTGCCTGCTCGAAGACAACTCCACCCTGCAAACCCTTTTCCCCTCCTGCCACCAAATTATGAAATAATAATGCCGAGACCGTCAAGAGCAGTGTCAAGCAAATGATGTCAAGGACCCTGACAAGAAGGCATGAATGGCTCAACACAGAAAGAGACGTATTTCAGTGGCAATTGGCTACTGGACACTGTGTTCGTGCTCTCTTTGCATTATTAGCCCATCCATTTAAAGCTCGTATCAGCTCCAAGGTGAGTGTTGATCATATTTACGTTTTCAGGTGGATTCAGGCAGGAACAGTAAGGGCTAAAGGTTTCACAGCTAGGAAGGGGAGGAACAAGAATTCGAATACAGGCAGTCAGACCCCAGAGCCTCACTCTGTGGATCAGGGTTCCTTCACCTCAGCACTAGTGACATTTGGGGCCAGATACACTGTTGACCTCGACCCATTAGATGTCAAAAGCAATGCCCGAGCAGTGACCATCAGAAAAACCAAGAGCAGAGAAAAAGACAGGAAGAAGAAATGAGAACAAATAGCCCTTATTCTTTTGGACTGATTTGCTTTTGTTTAAAGCAAAAGAAACAGAAACAGTCCTTAAAGGCTAATAAGAGATGGGTAAAGATGGGTAAAGAAACAGTCCCTAATGTACTTAAGCTTACCTAAGAGTAAACAGAGATATTCTGTAAAGCAGTGTTTCCCAATTTACGTAATCACGTACTGAGCTGAAAAAGTACTGATAGCTGAGTCCCAGAGACCCAGAGATTCTAATTTAATTGGTCCAAGATGTGGCCTGGGTTTAGGGTTTTTTAAAAGCTCTCCAAGTGCTGCTAGTATGAATCCAAAACTAAGAACCACTGCTATAAATTATTCAACTAGTACGTTATTTCTATGGGTCTTATGAATTATGTAAATTGATTGCATTTGTTTAACCTAATAGAAAACCAAACGGTTACCTAATAAATTGAGTACATATATTATTATCAACATTCATTGACCGTCAGATTTGTAGAGGTTCATTGCATTCTCCAGCCAGAACGGAAAGCATTCCCTAGTTCCTAACTTTTTGGCCATCTTGTTTCCCATTATCGTTTCCAGTAGAAAATGAACAAAAAAGTTGGAAATGCTGTTAGTTATTTCATAGTTGTTCACAACACTGTAAAACTGTAATGGAAGAAATTTTTTTCATTATTGGGTACAATGTGGTTTGGAGTGGTTTCAGGGCTCTAAACACTCTCTTTTGGATTATTCCAGTATTTTTGATTAGGTGATTTTTCTACACGTTAATCTTGTCCCTACCACCATGAGCAATCCAGAATTCACGGGCTCAAATGCAACAAACGCATTTCTAATATGGGATTTATTCAGAGAACAGCAGGACACTGTAGATTTTTATAATCTCACCTTCAAACTATGGAAAAGATGACCATTTTCCCAACTTGCTTTCTAGGACAACGACAAGCAAATCTTACCCAATGTAGACACAACACTGCTATTCACACCGAGTATCCTCCCTTTCATTCCTTAGACAGTCTACACCTGCACATGGTAAGCAATAAAACAGTGTGGACCTTCTAATCACTTCTCTAGTACTGATGATCATTTGTAATGACATTGAACAAAACTTTGCCCAGCAATTTGCATTGATTCTTAGGAGAGGGTCACTTCTCACTCCCTGATCTAAGTGTAAGTCACTCCTTACACATTGATCCATGGAATTCATAAGATTCGTCAGAATTAAGCAAAAGAAACCAAAAATGACGTTCAATTACAAGTTATCTTTCAACCCCTACTCTGAAGATTAGGGAATGGGTTTGCTTATTTTGTTTGGTGGTTATTGCCAATTTTGTTAGGTATTTTGTGGAAGGAAGAGAAGGCTTGGAAGGGTCACGAGTTTTCCCAGGCCCCGGGAGTGCATAAATACTTCCAAGAGCAGGGTGGAATTCAATAAATTATGGCAGAAACTCTCTTCAAAAGATGAGTCTACACTGTAGATGTAGTCTACACGGACCCTGGATAGCAGAAATATCTGAATTCATATAACACATATATTCCCAGAGAGCTATGTGTCATTTAATGACACTTTATTTGATTTTAATTGCACACATGGTCCACTCCTACAGTTAACTCTTTGCAAACAAACAAAGCATAGGGAGCATCAATGCCTACTCTTTTTGAGTCTTCATGACATCTGGCAACCTGCTTTATATGTTAAAAATATGCCCTGTAGGAGCACCTAGGTGGCTCAGTTGGTGAAGCATCCGACTCTTGGTTTCGGCTCAGGTCACGATCTCACAGTTCGTAAGTCCGAGCCCTGTGTCAGGCTCTGCACTGATGGCACAGTCTGCTTGGGATTGTCTCTCTCCCTCTGCCCCTCCCCTTCCTGCTCATGCTCATGCTCTCTCTCTCTCTCAAAATACAAAAGTAAACATATATATATATATATATATATATATATATATATGCCTTATATGTCCAAAATGTGTGCTATTTATTGGGTGTCTAGGGGAAAGATCCTTCAATCACATAAATTATTATTCTCTAGGGGCGCCTGGGTGGCTCAGTCGGTTAAGCGTCCGACTTCGGCTCAGGTCATGATCTCGCGGTTCGTGAGTTCAAGCCCCGCGTCAGGCTCTGTGCTGATGGCTCAGAGCCTGGAGCCTGCTTCCGATTCTGTGTCTCCCTCTCTCTCTGACCCTCCCCCCATTCATGCTCTGTCTGCCTCTGTCTCAAAAATAAATAAACGTTAAAAAAAAATTAAAAAAAATTATTCTCTATTTTGTGTAACTTCTGCTTTTTGTCATTCCAGTGCTCCTTTGTAAACTGAAGGTGAACACGGTAAGCAATAAACAGTATGGACCTTCTAATCATTTCTCTAGTACTGATGAAGTCTGCGGGTGGAAGGACGGAGTGACCCAGAAGGAGTATGGTGCAAGCATGGGATTTTTGATGGCTATTGACTGCTTGGCTCTGCTCTCAGTTTCCATTGATTTCTTGGCGTTGACAGGATCTACTACTGCGATGCTTTGTTTCAGAGAGCCACTTTTTTGTTTTTTGGCTTTTTTTTTTTTTTTTTTTTTTTGAGAGCCAGTGTTTTATTTTCCCTGCTGCGGCATGTCCCTGGTGCATAGGTCATTTCCTGGAGACCTCATCGTAGCCAGGAAACAGCGAAGAGTGAAGAAATAAGCCAAAATACCTCCAAGCAACTAAAATAGATAATGGCCAAGTCTCCACTGTCCAAACACTTCATAAAGAGGAAAGCCCTTTGGAGTTCTCTGCACATAGTTCTAGTAAGCTCTATTGTGTGATTTTCTAGCAAAGCACTTTAAACAGCACGTGTGTTGGGAGGTTAGGAGAGTTGCCAAAGGCTGGGACACTGGCAGCTATGAAAATGACATCTGATAGACTGCAAGAGAGAAAAAGACCAAAGAACAAAAAGAAAAGAAAAGAAAACCTATAAAAACAGGAATCAAGGAATCAAAACTCAGAGATGGGATCATGCCACAGAGAGGCAAACACCCCATACGTGACCACTGGATTCCCGCGTGGGAGAGAAATTGACATCCACCCGGAAGCCTGAGATAAAAAGACTGGAACAAGGTATGCTCAGCAAACTGTTGGAGAAGGCAGGAAGTATGTGATACATTTTAGAAAGATTTCTAGACAAAATAGTTTTGCTACTGTTTTTGTGTTTAAATGCGTAAAGTTCAGGGAGGGGAAAAAAGATCTTTTACTTTTTAAGCAGTTAAAAAAAAAAAAAAAAAAAGAAACCTGTAACAGAAAAAAGAAAATCGGATCCCGAAGTCATTTAAATAGGCCAGGTCTTCCCTAACCTGCTGGATACATTAGGCATTCCCGTCTTTCAAACAAAGCATGAAAATCTCTTTAGAAGTGTCATGTTCTGCACATATCACTATAACAGTGATAATATGATTCCCGAAGGAGAGAGACACACACAGAGAAACAGAGTTTTTTCCCAGCCACCTATGCTCTGGATGTTGACCTAGTTATTAACATAATTCATTCGGCTTTAACTTTACTTATCATTCATCAGACTTACTTCCCATGCACCTAGGTAATATTCCTAATTTTCATTTTGATGGCTGCCATGGCAGGTGGCATGGCATATTCCATGATTCTAAATGGCTTCCAATTTTACTAATTATCCATAAGCAATAAAGGAAGGAAGGAAGGAAGGAAGGAAGGAAGGAAGGAAGGAAGGAAGGAAAGAAAGGAAAGAAAGCTCTTTCCTTTTGCCTTGTTGCAACCGAGACAGCAAGATGCAACACCAGGAGCTCTACTGGAGCCCTCCGAGGAAATTGGGCCAGGGTTCTCGTTCTTGCCGCTTATGCTCAAACCCCACCCCCACCCCGCCCCGGGTCTGATCCCGAAACACGGCCTCAATACGTGCCGCCAGTGTGTCAGCACCCGAAGGTACAGGCTTCAGCAAGCTAGATTAAGTGACCTTCCTTGAACGGGTCATCCAGGATACCTACGGCAATTGCAGATACCCAAGATAGCTACCTTAATGCTGGCTCTTCGGGCCTAAAATAAAAATACTTCAATGATGAGTGCCTTACCAAAAAAAGAAAGAAACAAGAAGACCAAAATGGAGCCACTTGCCCCCACCCCACCCCACCCCCCAACAACAGCAAACCCAGTCTCAGTTTCATCCTCTGCGGCAATGCGACGCTTGGAGTCGTATGGACTTGTCCTGATTGGCACTAGTGGGGTCATCTGCATGATAAAAACACTCCTATTCCCTTCCCCCACCGAAACAAGAAGTAACAATCCTTGCTTTTCTTTTGCTAATCACTTTAGCCGCCCCCCCCCACCCTTCCTGTAAAAACCTCCCATTCCGTATACCTCCTGGGGTATCTCTCTAGGTACTTGTTAGCTGGGATACTGCTCCCTTCGGGAATCACTTAATAAAGCCAAT